TCCCCGCCCCCTCCCCGCCTTTTCCGCCCTCCGGTCCGCTCCCTCGGCCCGCCGCCGCTGCTCCAGATGAGGTGATGGCAACAGCCAACCTCGGCAAGATCCAGATCGGGATTTACGTGGAGATCAAGCGGAGCCATGGCCGAATACACCAAGCAATGGTAACATCTTTAAATGAAGATAATGCAAGTGTAACTGTTGAATGGATAGAAAATGGAGATACAAGGCAAAGAGATTCGCCCTCCGGTCCGCTCCCTCGGCCCGCCGCCGCTGCTCCAGATGAGGTGATGGCAACAGCCAACTTCGGCAAGATCCAGATCGGGATTTACGTGGAGATCAAGCGGAGCCATGGCCGAATACACGAAGCAATGGTAACATCTTTAAATGAAGATAATGCAGGTGTAACTGTTGAATGGATAGAAAATGGAGATACAAAAGGCAAAGAGATTGACCTGGAGAGCATTTTTTCACTTAACCCTGACCTTGTACCTGATGAAGAAATTGAACCCAGTCCAGAAATACCTCCACCTCCGACATCCTCAGCCAAAGTAAACAAAATTGCAAAGAATCGACCGACTGTGGCATCTATTAAGAATGACCCTCCTCCAAGAGATAACAGAGCACGTAGAAAATCTAATTGTGTGAAAGAAGTGGAAAAGGTACAAGAAAAGCGAGAAAAAAGGAGATTGCAACAGTAAGAACTTAGAGAAAAAAGAGCCCAGGATGTTGATGCCACAAACCCAAATTATGAAATTATGTGTATGATCAGAGACTTTAGAGGAAGTTTGGATTATAGACTGCTAACAACAGCAGATCCTATTGAAGAACATAGAATATGTGTTTGTGTAAGAAAACGACCACTGAATAAGAAAGAAACTCAAATGAAAGATGTTGATGTGATCACAATCCCTAGTAAAGATGTTGTGATGGTACATGAACCCAAACAGAAGGTAGATTTAACAAGGTACCTAGAAAACCAAACATTTCGTTTCGATTATGCCTTTGATGTCACAGCTCCTAATGAAATGGTTTACAGGTTTACTGCTAGGCCACTAGTAGAAACTATATTTGAAAGGGGAATGGCTACATGTTTTGCCTATGGCCACACTGGAAGTGGAAAAACTCATACTATGGGTGGTGACTTTTCAGGAAAGAACCAAGATTGTTCTAAAGGGATTTATGCATTAGCAGCTCGAGATGTCTTTTTAATGTTAAAGACGCCGAATTATAAAAAGCTAGAGCTTCAAGTTTATGCAACCTTTTTTGAAATTTATAGTGGAAAGGTGTTTGACTTGCTAAATAGGAAAACAAAATTAAGAGTTCTAGAAGATGGAAAGCAGCAAGTTCAAGTGGTGGGATTACAAGAACGGAAGGTCAAATGTGTTGAAGATGTACTGAAACTTATTGACATAGGCAACAGTTGCAGAACATCCGGCCAAACATCTGCAAATGCACATTCATCTCGGAGCCATGCAGTGTTTCAGATTATCCTTAGAAGGAAAGGAAAACTACATGGTAAATTTTCTCTCCTCGATTTGGAAATGAACGAGGAACAGATACTTCCAGTGCAGACAGGCAAACTAGGCTTGAAGGTGCTGAAATTAATAAAAGCCTTTTAGCACTCAAGGAGTGCATCAGAGCCTTAGGTAGAAATAAACCTCATACTCCTTTCCGAGCAAGTAAACTCACTCAGGTGTTAAGAGATTCATTCATAGGTGAAAACTCTCGTACCTGCATGATTGCCACAATCTCTCCAGGAATGGCATCCTGTGAAAATACTTTTAATACAAAAGATATGCAAATAGGGTGAAAGAATTGACAGTAGATCCAACTGCTGCTGGTGATGTCCGCCCAATAATGCATCATCCACCAAACCAGATTGATGATTTAGAGTCACAGTGGGGCGTGGGGAGTTCCCCTCAGAGAGATGACCTAAAACTTCTCTGTGAACAAAATGAAGAAGAAGTTTCCCCACGACTGTTTACTTTCCGTGAAGCTGTCTCACAAATGGTAGAAATGGAAGAGCAGGTTGTCGAAGATCACAGGGCAGTATTCCAGGAATCAATCAGATGGCTAGAAGACGAAAAGGCTCTCCTAGAGATGACTGAAGAAGTGGACTATGATGTAGATTCATATGCTACACAACTTGAAGCTATTCTTGAACGAAAAATAGACATTTTTAACTGAGCTGCGGGATAAAGTGAAATCTTTTCGTGCAGCTCTACAAGAAGAAGAACAAGCCAGCAAGCAAATTAACCCGAAGAGACCCCGTACCCTTTAATTGATATTTGCTGCTAAACTATCCCCAGAACCTTCAGTGCTGTAACAGTGTTTCAGCTATAAGGGCCATTTCAAAGTTTGAAATTCTGTGTCTGTGGAAAATGTCTTGTCCTTCACCTGAATGACATTTCAATTTTGTGAAGCACTCCTTTGTCTATAAAATTCTTCTAGTCCAGGAGGGACAACCAAGGTTTGGGATTAGTGAAGCTTTTTGTTTCACTATTCTCCAAATGGTGATTTACTTTTGGAGATCCTTGCCAGTTTCATTTTCTATATGAAGTAAGATTGTGGACTTGATCCACAATGGTGGATAGTAGGGAGAAGCCACAGCATTTCCTTTAAACTCAGTTCAATTTTCGTAGCAAGACTGAGCAGTTTTAAATCCTTTGAGTGCATGCATACCTCATCAGTGATTGTATATACCTTGCCTACTCCTAACGACAGCTGTGCTCAACTCTTTCCGCTCTGTGCCTTGACTAAGGCTATTGACCCTCAATTTCTGAGGCACAGCCAAGATAAATTACATTCCTTATTTGTCATTGTAAATTACCTTTATTGTGTGTACATTTTTACTGTACTTGAGACTTTTTGTGCATGACTAATTAATTTTGCAGGATGTGCCATATCACTGAACAGAACTAAATTCTGTGGCAGTGGACATAGCTTCTGAACCATTCCATCTTATATGTAAAGAAATCTGGAATTACGATTTTTAAAACCATATAACATGTGATTATAATTTTCTTAGCATTTTCTTTGTAAAAAATACTGAAATATAAACTAGTTGGTGTATAATAAAAAGTAATGAAATTCTGAGAAGAGTTTTATCTTAGGGTAATACATATAAAAAAAAATTTGAAAAGGGCCCAGGATGCAGCTTGAGGTGAACATTCTGAGTTTAGTCCTAGGTACCAAAAAAAAAAAAAGGAGGAGAGAAGAAGGAGAATCAGGACATTCAGTAAAGAAAAACAAATGAGGCAATGCACCCAGTCGGTTGGCTTGTTATTACCCCAAATAAAGTAAGATAATAGTGCAGGCATAAAGGTTGTGTGCCAAAAATCCATTCTCCTCTAAGTAGACCTCAACCTAGGTTTAGAATGTGACTATTAAACACACGTCTTCTCGGATTCTCTCAGAGAGAGAACATGAAAATATCCACGTGACCCCAATCTGATCAGAGAGATATGAGTTAACTGAATATAAAAGCTACTTCCGAGTTAGTTGAGAGAAGAAGGGTAAGTGGTGGAACTGGGTGCCAGAGAAGGACGTGGAGGAGGTGTGTGAGGCCTGTTCATGAAGATGGGGTATGAAACAGGCCAGAGAAGTACAGCAGGACAGGGGCAGAGAAATGAGGCTGACAGAGGAGTGTTCTGTTGTTTTCAGACCTAGAGTTACCAGAGCATTATGGCTGTGTCTAGATGTCCCCCAAAGCCTCACGCAGTCATAGGTGGGCCTTTCTCTGGAATTAATTCCTGTTGCAATGCCAGGCTCGGGGGCACTAGGATTGAGGGTGAGAGTGCTACCCACCCTAAGTAATCTGCAGAAGGATGCTGGTGAGGGCCCTTCCACCTTCCCTTGTTGCTTTTGCAGTCTTCTGCCACCATGAACTGTTGCCCCTCTACCTGCCTTAGAACCAGCCAATCTTGGACGGAAACCTCCACGAACTGTGAGCTATAAGCCTTTCCCCCTTTAACCAGGTGTTGGGTGTTTTGTCTCTGCAGGAGAGAAAAGTAACTAAGACACAGAGTGTTCCTGGTCCAATGGGGGGGGTGCTGCTGGAGAGGACGCAAACGCTCAAAGACACGAAGAAGTCCTTGAGAGAGCAGGGAGAGATGAGACCCAGGAGATAATGGAAAGACTAGCTTTTAATATATCTTCTGTTGTTACCAGGGGAAAGAAAATGTGTTTAAGCTTCAGATTTAGCAGAAAGATGAAGGAGTTCACATCTGACAGCCTCTGGTTTTTTTTCAGTATCATAGGGAGCATAGTGATCCCTTGGGTAAGAAAAAAGAGCTCCGACTAGTTGGGGGAGGGAGAAGTACAGAATAGTCTGCCCTCTCCCCCACGTCGCAGTGGCTCTTATTTCCTCATTTCTTTTGTGGCAGTAATAACAATCTGTAAGTACAGCCTTTATTTTCCCATGTTTTCATTCATTATCTGCCTCCCCTAGTGAAATGTAAGCCCTGTGAGGGGCAGGCATCAGGCCTGTGTTGTTCACTGTTCGATCCAATGCCAAACACATGCCCAGCACTTAGCATATCCTAACAAAATCGTTAGCTGAAAAGTGGAATAATCAAATGTATTATTACATTCGATGCTCAATAATGATTAGACAATAAAAACACCCAAGTGGCGGCCGTGTGACTAAGCATACTATCAGATCACTTGCTGAAGGTGTCCTTCCCAGACTATTCCTGGGCTTTGAGGACACAGTGAAAACCTGCTGACTTCCTCTCACCCCCAGCTCCTGACACAGAGCCCCATGCCTAGCCCAGCACCTGGCAGGGGCAGAACCTTAAGGAAATTATCCAGAACCTCTGACATCACCAAGAATTGATTTGTTTGTATTTTCTCTCGGGGAGCACACAGATTTGAAGATGGCCATAACTGTCTGTTGCTCTCGAGTCAATTTAACAACCAGTACCATGTGCCCTTTTCCCTGAAGAGAACTTCTGAAAAAGAAGAAAATGCAGTGCAGGGGGATCTCGTCTAAGTCTCTTCATTTACGAATCATGTTGGCTTGACCTTTAAGCTTTCTCAGCATTCCAGCAAGGCAAGAGAATTCTAGTGTGATTCTGAGATAGTCCCATAGCTGCTGCCCTTGGGAATGTGAGAAAAGGGGTCCCAAGGCCACCCCATCTCACCATCCCCAGTGCCACCACTCCCAGTGGCCTAATCCTGTTCACAAAGCTGAGTTGTGGCTGTGAGCAGACACTGAAGAAAGCCTGCCCTTTGGCAAAAGCCTAGAGGAAGGGCAGACAGCTCTGATAATAGCTTGGTGCAGGTTTGGAGAAGGAACAGGTCAGTGAGAACCTTCTAACAATCTTGGCTTCTGGGATCATTGCTATTAAAACAATTGAAAGACTTAGACTTGGCTCTGGAAAAGAAGTCACCTTATTTTTGACAGGTTCTAAAATTGCACAAGAGCACAAGTATGTTCATACCCAGTACCCAACTCCAGCAAGGCAGGAGCAGTGGGCTTGACTAATGCACAGCACTCATCCCAGGAGTGACCGAAGATCCTTCACATGCACGGTGGGGTGGAGAGGACTCGGTGTCACCTGCCATGACTGCTCAGTGCCATCCCCTCCCCTGAGGTGTCCCCGATCCTCTGCGCTGCAGTCTGCTCATCCCTCAAATTGCTCTTCTCTAGCCTCTCCAAATTCTCCATCACTTCTCCAGTGTCTACGCTGCTGATCCTAGTCACTGAGTCAAACTGTCTCTTGCTACTCTCTAAGTGTTTCTGAGCTTTTACCTTACCTGCCCAACTAGACAGGATAACTTTTATTTTTGCAGAATCCCAGTGCCAACAGCATAGATGTTCAGTAATAATTCACTTGTATGTTCCTCCTAGTATGCTACTCCTGGCCAAGTGGGTATACACAGACAATCACATGATGATGATGATGATGATGATGATGATGATGATGATGATGATGATGATGGTGATGATGATGATGATGGTGATAGCTACCGTATTTGAACATTCACTATAGAACAGGTACTAGGCAAGTATTTTGTGTTCATTAGTAAATTTAAATTTCTCAGCAACTTTATGAAGTAAGAATTATTTTAATTCTCACTTAACAGATGGGGAAATTGAACCTTAGCCTAAAATTGTATTTTTAACTAATAAACTGATTCTGGAGTAGGGTATATATTTTACATGCATTTTTTGCATATATACATATATACACACATACATATAGTATATACATATATATAATTTTTGGAGACAAGTCTCTCTATGTTGCCCACGCTAATCTTGAACTCCTGCACCCAAGTAATCCTCCTACCTTAGCCTCCCAATCAGTGGAACTACAGGATCATGCACCAACATACCCTCTTTATACAGAAAACTAGAAATGGATCAGTATAGGCCTGACTAATACTTTCCAAATAGAATTGTAGAATACTAACCCGCAAAGGGCTTTAGAGCTCATCCAATCCAACTGTCCTGTCTGAAGGACCAAAGAAATAAATGCCAGAGACATGGGATGACTTACCCAAGACTTCACAGCTGGTAAGAAACTGTGACCACGGTGTATGATCTCTACCACCCACCACCCTCCCAAGAAATGTTCTTCCTCTTCGTCCACACACGTTTAACATCCTCGTGTCTCTAACTAGCAGACTTAGCTTTGTGATCTCAGCCCAGGAGGCTGTTAGTCCACCCTTAATGGACTGAGCTGGACTCAACAGTTCTCCTTTCCCTTCATCCCATCCCTGCCAACTCCCCCCTCACCCTGTCTCCACTACCCGCTTCCTGGCCAGGTCCCCTGACTCTGAATGCATTGCCCCTGCCCTTAGCAAAAGCTTCTCTGTACACCAGGGGAATTATTACAACACTGTTCAGTCTGCCAAGAAGCAGACAGTCACTCAGACTGTGGCACAGGCAGCTCAAGCTGGATTTTTACTTGACTGAAACCAAATTACCCTCCACATGAGACAGAGAGGGGATATTTTACTCCTGTTTCTATTGGTGGGAAAGTGAGAGAAGCAGAGAAGTGTGTTGGGGACTATAATTCGGTCACAATCTAGTCAAGTTTGTGGCTGGCCACCAGTAGCAAAGCAGTTTTCAAGCACTTTGATCTCCTCAGTTGTCATTGCCAAAACTACCCACGTTGATCTTTCTGGAGCAGAAGACACCAGATTCGTGTACCCATTAAAGCAGGAGCTAGGAAAAAGGCCAGCATCCCAGACACACCCAATTAGATCGGAGCATTTCCCTTCGCCAGACGGGTTCCCCAGTGGGGACACTGCGAAGAGCACAAAGGAGAAGCAAGCATCTCTCTTCTGTCTGG